TAGTTGTGGCGGCTGCGGCTTTCAGGTGTTGGTGCAGTAGTGGGTCGTGGTGATGTAATGGTGGTTGCGGTGGTGCAGTGGTAGTTGACGGTGATTAAAAACACCCAAACCGCGTTTTGAAAATTTTGGCATGATTATAACTGAAAACACTCAAAATGACAAATTGGGTTTTCTTTGTAAATTTTTAATCGAAAATAGAAAAGAGAACGCATTTTCACTATTTTGAAAAATTGAAAATAAAAAACGGTTTGAAAACTGTAAATAAAACATGCCCTTAGTAATTTAGAGGTCTTTGTTTGTATAATAATAATAATAATAATAATTAATGTCCTCATTATTATTTTATCGTCCCTAATCGTCGTACATTTAATATTATTTAACAAATAATTTTGTACCAAATATTATTCAAATTATGTGGGATTCAATTGGATGGATTTGAAAAGCCAATTGGAAGATTTCTTAAAGTAAGGGAATCAAAGTGGACGCTTGGAGAAGTTGAAGAAACAAAAATGTAGAAGCCTGAGGTTTAGAACTAAAATAGAAGAAGTTAAAAGTTCAATGACCAAAGGTGAAAAATCAGAAGTTCGTGACCAAATAGCAAAATACTGAAAAGCGGGGACCTGGCGTGAAGGCGTTAGGTCAATTGGAAAATGCTGTGGCACGTATTAAAATAAAGGGAAAAGGTATGGTCAGGCATGGTGCGTGTGCGTCTGCCATGCGCCATATAGAAAGGTTCATATTTTGGTTTAAACCTATTTTTGATCAAATTATGTTATTCTAGGATCTGTTTTGAGCTCTCTTTTAGCCCCCATCTAAGTATCAAGGAACTTCATGCATCATTATATAACACATATTGGAGCAAAAATTGCAAGAGAAAACAATATTTATTCCAAAAAATAGATACGGACTGGGATGAAAGGATTTTCACCTCTGAATAGCGGGATCAAGACTTGAAAGACTTTTAAGAAGAAAAAAATGACGTCTACTCAATTTTTCTCCTAATTATCCTGGTTATGTATTCATCATATATATATACATGATATTCTAGTTTTATCTTACTTTTTTTGTTTATTCATATTCTTCATAGAGATAATTGGGTCATAGACAAAGCTTGAATTAATTTATCGCGAACGAAAAATTTAACATATAAGGAATATCGATGGTCTACATAAAATAAATAGTTAATAATGATTAACTGATATTTAAAGTAGGTTAAGAATTTCAAGACTCGTTTATCTTTAATTCCTTTTTTAAGTTCATAATTAAAATATTTCAAAATAAATCTCAAAATCATAAATATGTATGTCCCAAATAAGGGCTAGTTTTAACTAAATAAGTAGATAATCAATTTTCTTGAGTTTGACACTGCTCATCCTTTATTACTTATCCATGGTATATCCACTTGTGAGGGCGTCGTTGAGGTGATTGTTTTATTTATTTTTGCTTTAGTTAATCTTAGATTTTATTATTTTCATTTCTCTTTTTCAGATGGTCTACTTTTTTTTCTTTATTTCATTTTTCTGCCCGGGAACAAAGAGAAGCAACAGGCTAGCAACAGCACGAGATGAGAAATAGCACTCAAGTTCTTTCCCTTGTAGTCCCTGTACTGAATGTCAATCTATCCTCAATCAATCATCAAGCAGTTGTGGTTCCAGTTGCCAAAATTAATAAAGAAGATTTGCTTGTTGGAAAGTTATGACTCCTCGTGTTGTTGAAAATCAGTTCTAGCAACATGTATCCGCCTTTCGGGATCTCAAACTTTTAGCCGAGGCCGAACATCGTCAACTTATTCTCAAACAGTATACCATTTTTCGGAAAGACGTGAGAATTCACATGCTCACATATCACGTATCCTGGAGATCGATAACTTCAAATAAGACGTGACGATGAGGCTTTTTCCTCACCTTAAGGGATACGGCTAGGGAGTAATTGGATTCATTTCCTCCATGCAGCATCACTACGTGAATTAGCTATGATGTACTTTTTTTCCAGCCAAGGTTTCCAAACCAAACGTGACATCTCCATCTTCCAGCAATCTAATCTAGAAAGATTTCATCAGTCATGGGAAATGTTCAAAGAACTGCTCGACAAGTGCCCGAATCAAAGAATCGCAAAGGAACATTAATTGAATCCATAGCTGCATCATCACAGAGAGATTCTGTCACATAAATGTACATGAACCAGAAGGACTGATAGCATTGAATTCAATTGTTGGGGAAATTATACAATAACATGCATAATTATATTCACAATAACGTACCTTATCCATAAGCATGA